CCTTAATTCATCCTTAATTCAACCTTAATTCATCCTTAATTCATCCTTAATTCAACCTTAATTCATTAGCGGATTGATCGAGTAGCCTGTGAGGTGCACTGGGACAATGAGTGAGAGCGTTCAGCTAGTTTCTGTTTAATCACTGAAACAAATTAATTTATCTAACGTTGATTAAAGCCCCGCCTTTTATTTGGTTTTCTCTGGGTTGAGCTGCACCACGATCACTTTCTCTTTTACCCACAGTGCACATGTGCTCCCAGCAGCCGGTTAGACACGTGAGGCGTCTCTTTCAGGCGTTTTGGACTGAACATGTCCGACCCTCAGCTGGAGCATATGCTGTGCTGGAGCAGAGTGGCAGCTCTACGCCGCGTGCCTTTCTGCAGGATGATGGCACTAGCTGCAGAGGAAGAGCGAGCTGTCCAGTTTGGATCTGTGACCAGACGTGCTCCAGTCACAACCAGTTGACAGGCCGAGCAGCAGCCCCCACCCCCATCGCACCCCATCTCAAAGGGGCACAGCAGCCCCGCGGCCAGTGGCCCCGACCACAGTCGGTTACAGCGTCTCCATCATTGCTGGCCGGAGCAGCCAGGAACTGACACGAGGTTGGCGGGGAAAAAAACTTAAGTGTCAGCCATATGATGGCTGAAAGGAACATCAGTCTCAGCAATTGGCCGGGCACCGCTCAGTATGCCTGCCTGTGTGTGTGTGTTTGTGTGTGTGTGTGTGTGTGTCTTGATATTGAAGCAGCATTTGAGCAGCCCCTACATCAACGTCTGGTCGTTCTACACAGACAATGTCAGCTCGCCTCGGGGCAGCAGCCTCCACAGTGGTCATATGGACAACCGCATCCCTGTGGTAGAATTAGTGATAAAAAACACACATGGCCACTGAGTGACAGTCAGCGCACCAGATTCCTTTGGACAGACAGGGCTGCAAATAGCACAGAGGAGCAGTTTCTCCCTCAGACCGCAACTGGTGGTCAGGCTCCTGCCAGGCCGAGCCGCGGTCGCCAGATGAGCCCGGATAAAAGGAGAGTCGGGGGCAGTCAAAGGCACTTAAGCGCCCAAGGAGCACTTTGGCCTGTTTATTTCCCTCCTGCTTTCGCATCGCCGCAGTCGTTCGCGATTTCTCATCTGCGCTTTGGACGTGTCGCCGCTTTCTTCAGCTGTCACGCCGTCTAACCTCCAGCTCGCTTCACATTACGTCGTCTTCTGACTCCGTGTCCTCGCTCACTGAAGTAGAAAGACGGCGCTTGTTTGACAGCAAAGCGATATTTACTAACCCTCTCCTGGCAAACGCTGCTCTGCCCCGTAAGGTTATGTAGTGATAAATAACATCCATCTATTATGTTTCCATGTCCTTTCTAGTGTGTCCAGATACGCACTAATACTCGCACCATTCCCCAGAAGGATACCGTGTCCCCAGAGGTGCTGGGGGCGGGTGGGGTGCATGTAGTGGTAGCTGTTCTGGAGGCAGGGAGGGGAGGCAGGCAGCAGTTGGTGTGCAGAGAGCAGCGGCTCAGGCTGGCTAGTTAAGAGCTTCTCTTTCCTATCCTCCATCTGCCAGGGACCGGGGTTGTGATTTGAGCTCCAGCAGAGCAGAGCAGGGAGGAGATCGAAGGAGGGGTGGATGGCAAGAG